AGTCCGGGTTCATCATAGAGACAACCCCCCCCCCCTAACCGATCTATCGTAGAGCTTAGTCATCACACTAATCAACAAACAGGGACATCAGACTGAACACCCAGCACTGATCACGTCACTAGTCATAAGGAATCTCACGGATTGGTTCCCTGACTGCCTTAAAACTCAATCAACTTACTTACTTACTCACTTGGCCTGACGAAGCTTTTGCGTCAAAAGCGAAACGTTGCCCAGCAATAAATCCACCGATTGTTTACCAAACCCCTCTGAAACGATGACTTCCCAATCGGTCCCAAACATTTTCCAATTGATTGAAAACCTCTTAGTCACTTCCAGAGCATCTGCCCTAGGGATGTTTGTGTACATTGAGATTACGTCAAAACTGTTTTAATCATTAATTGCACGGTGAATGTTGAAGCCGTAATTTTGCTACCATAGAACCCCAGGAGTTTTAATCTCAAAATATAAATTGGGACAGATGCATAACACGGAGATAGCTGGTGCAATTTTCGCAAAATCTTCCGGAATCACCTATGCCTTCAGACACTCACCTGAACAATCATCCTAAAATTACAAGCGTGAAGCCCATGATATTGGTAATCAGCCAAATAATATTCTCTTTTTTGCTAATGCATTTCCATAATTTTCACTTGAGTTGTGTCATCAACGATTGTCGAGAAGTTTCGCAAAGTTTTTTTTCGACGGATTGATAAATCTGATATGAACAGCATATACGATCCCAATATCTAGAAATATCTGAGGATGGGGACTGCATCTCGCTTTTGCACCCAAATTATTGCCAGGATATTCTACACAACAATTTTTACCCTTACTTCGTGCTAAACCCATAAATCTCCAAATCACATTTTCAAGCTTTATTTAGGCATTCTGAAGATTCTAACACATTAGGATCACTACTAGTTAAATTATTGTTTTTTTTTAAACACTGAACTTTTGGGCTATATGCTTCGGGTTACACGAATATAGCTTAGGCTAGCTACAGTAGAATATATATGCCACGTAAATTGATTGTGACGTTGAGTACCTGTGAACAAGTTAGGTGTGAAAAACCGTAAGGTGGAAATGAATCTGCCACTCAATCAGTTTAGCGAAGTGGGTAAGTTAAGAAACATAACTCAAGTGGTTCCGCTTACTCGCGGCTAATGTGCGACTAACTGTAGGTGTGCCATCACCCTGCCACTGTGCAATTGTTTCACCAATTGCATTGTTTCATCGTCGGCTGAACAAGCGTTCAAGATGCGCTAACGGGGGCAATGGCTAACAATATGTGCACCATCCAGTAGTGACGCCGCACGCGTTTTGATTATGTGGGTGAAAATAAGAGTAGGGATCCCCGTGGACACAACATTTCTTCTGTTGCAGCTTGTATGAATCACAATTGCGAAGTTCCCTTGGAGGACGAATACAATAAAATTCACATCCGTACAACACAGTACAGTAACTGACATTTCTGAGCTCCACTGGGAGGCTTTTCACGTCACTCAAACTTTCCCCGTATATTTTAACTTACGTTCGAACCCACAAAGACTTGAACGAATGGTGGGGAAAGTTCCAATGTACGATACAAGGTTTTTTGTGTAGACGGTTAAAAAGCGAGTGATATGAATAGAAGTTGTGTGAACCCACAACTACTCATATCAAGGAAAGAAGTATCTGACTGTGTTTAAGAGTCCATGGCGCCAAATGGCTGAAAAGTTCTGGCTTGCCAGTCAGTTGACTTGCACCACGAAAGAATTACTGGATATCGGTAAAGATTTCGAACTAACCAATCACGTCCGGCAAGTACATGCGTTTGGATATCAATTTAGTTTTCACGACCGACCCAGCCGAATCTACCGCTAGTGATATTATTCTCCAACTGAATGTGTTGTACAAAGGCTGACTCACAAACATTTGGCACGATCTTCAAAATATGTGATATATTTTCATCAGGGAAACTATTCACAAGGTTGCTGAAAACAGCTTGAAGACCCACGGTTTCGCTCTTGTTGGGGTTAATCAGGTAGGGCAGTTCCAGAGTTTTCATCAAGCCTATTTTCTACCTGAACACAAGTTGTACGAAATTCTACAAATACACTCATACACTCACACAAACTGAACTGTGATGTAGCTTACATGAAGCACACCAGCTGTAGAGGGGTTCAGGTGAGTTTCCCGTCAAAACTGAATTTCTGTGGAAATGAGTGTATAATTCGAATTTCGTGCAATTCGGATTCAAGTGGAACATAAAGTTGATGGAGGTTCGGAGAATGCACCTACCTGGTGAGCCCCAGCTGGGGTGAAACCAGTAATGGACAGTCGAATAGCTTTCAGCAACCATGTGGATAGTTTCTTTTATGGGAATAATCACGTTGTCTATCTTGTTCTACCTTGTTCTCTCCTTCATCTCGTCCGCTATGTACTGATGGAGTAGTTGCAACAGACTTGTCTTGTATTTGGGAATCCCGGCATCCAACTTCAAGAACCACCGGAGGTGTGCAACGCTACTAAGCCCTAATAAGAGAACACGCATATCCAAAGCTTACTCGGAACATCTAGAATCATCAGACCTAGTGTCCAGACGGGAGTTATTCAAATAAGGTTTTAGAACTTAGGCGTGCTGCAACCAGAGGAAAGAAATCCTTGTAGCCGAGCCAAAATTATATGTGGAGTTGGTTCCTTTTCGTTATCACGATTTTCCTTTTATGTGTATGTCAGTCAGAAGGTTGATGTTTTTTCGTGCTTCGACAAAATTGCAATCCCTGATCACGATCATAATGTGAATTTAGATAAGCAGAATCTGTGCCACCGGAATTGGTCTATTCATTTCTCTCTGCACTTGTGGTTTCCACCCAAACACTCATCCTCAACTTGATCCAAAAACTCTGCACTTGTGGTTTCCACCCAAACACTCACTCATCCTCAACTTGATTCAAAAACGGTCATATATGATGTGCATGTTCCCCGTGGGCGTCACGCCTCTCACCCCTCTTGCGTGTGTACTTGTCCTACAGTCACTGCATTTCTCCTCACACTGGCGTTAGTGGGTGAAGACCAAAGCTGTCCGTTGATTGGTTGCTTACCTCGCAGAAGTTCATTAATATTCTCCCCCCGCTTCCCGAAACACAGATCCCAGTGTCCAGTATCTCTTCCATGCTGCCAATAAAATATACAAAATGTACACGAAAATATACATGCTCAGTGCCAGTTGGAAACCAAACAGGGTTTATTTTTGAAGCATCCCCTTAAAATGGGAATAAAAATGGCCCTGTGCTTGCATTTAATCTGTGTAAGTGTGTTTTTTCTCCACTGCTGCGCAAACCACCTGGCTACATTTTCAATAAAAATTCTGGAGTTTCAAAACCATGAGCGTCGTCGAATGGATGGTACTTGCTGCGGGAAAGGTAAAACTGGTGAACGCAATTCCTCTGTTTGTGTCGCCGAATGCTCCTTGGAGTTCCGTATTTGCTTAGAACCGTTCTCCATCCCGGTCTCCTTGACAGATCGGACTCCCTATGCTGGACCTTGTATTTATGGCGAAGGAACTACTGGACATTGGGGCAACACGGATATGCAGTACACGTTCTCGGAAGCGCCAACTCATAAAATCAACATAACGCTTTCTTGGCCGGTAAGTGAGAAACGCGATTTCACGTGGTGGTAATTTATCCGGGTTTAACTACCTCAGTGAAACAAGGGCGCTTGGAAACTGAACACAGAATAACAAAATATGTGAGAAAAAACTTTAAAAAAAATGCTGCACATAGGAGGCGAATTACGCTGCCACATGCATTGTGAATGAGTGTTGAATGTAACCCCAGTAAAAAGGACTCCAGACCCAAGTAATGTCGTTGCAAATCTTTGCGTTCATTGGAGTCTGCGAATGTGAAACGCTGAGATTTATTTAACGCTTACTGTGTGGTGAAATGTAGCGGCGTTTAGCTATAATTAATTACGGTTAAAAATTTAGTGTTTTGCCGGGTTATTCTGGTAAAAATGAAAAAAATGTTTCGCTTCAGAGTAGTTTGATCCAAGCGTAGAAGAACCGGCCGTTTGAGTAGATTGTTTCAAGTACTCTGCAAACAAAGTAAGACCACTTCTTGGTACAAACGTATCTGTCATACGTTTGCTTCGTTCCCCTTACTATGTCATTCTCTAGAAAGAGCTTCCATATCTGTCATCAGTCATCTACATTGTAAACAACTGAAATGTTGCAGTGTCATCCTTGAATGCTGACCATAGAACCATATAACTGATAAAACAAAACACAACGCAAAACGTAGGCATATAGAAGACGATGATTTAGGTATGCGAACGCCAACCGTTTTCAAGAATGTTCTGTTAACTTGTGCGTGCCCGTTTGCACATTAAAACTACATAGTATCCACAGTGATGTACCCCGCTTTCTAGATGGTCAGCAGTTAGTTTCTGCCAAGGTCATCAATGTGTTATTCATGGGAACCTTTACTGGTCTAGACTTCGTTGCAGTGAAAGGATCTGTATTAGGGGTTGCTGTGAAGAAAAAACAGAAGCTGTCTTCTATAGTCAAACTCGACACATTACTCCCGCCCCCTTATCAAGGAAGTGTAGTCGAGGAATGCTACGAAGCTCAGAATTGCTTATTTAAATGGAGTCACAAATTGGATTTATGACATCTTTGCTGTTTGTTTATTCGTCCCAACATTTTGATGCTAAGTTCACCAGTGCTGTTTCTACATATAAACCCCAAAGTTCAAGTACTCGGGTTATTTTCATATTGTACGCTATCCTATCAAACTAACGCGATTAACACTTTAATCCCCGAACATATATCATGCATTAATTACAATTTCTTCATTTTTATGATTTGGAGTTTCTCTTGCAATTGGCAATGGTAACCAATTGTGAAACTCACGACTTATCAAACTCATCTTACCAAATGAGAAGCGTGGTTTAAGGTTTAGCAGTTTATAAAAACAAATAAAAATTGTGAATACAATCAAATAATATGAGGTTTGGTTGGAATATGCGTGATAATGCTTCGCTGTGGGGTTTCTGATTCCAAGACATTACGTCCCATATTATGGTTCCCTCTTTTCATACGGGGTTGCCGCTGCAAACCTCACGCTAATGACAGGGACGAGAAAAGCATTTCAATAAAGGCTTTGAAGAATATAGTCAAATAAAATCGTTCCGATAGGTTATGCAAATGAAACTCTCTTTGCTTCGACGGCCTCTGGAGCTTTATGCTTGGTATCCTTTTAATACCACTAGATACCGCTTTCTCAAGCTATACCCAGTGACTTAGGTACCCAAAACCGACTTGGCAGCCAGAACAAACTGAATTTTTGACCTCCACCAGTGCTGATATTCTCATAATCATGGGTAGTTTTGTCTAATGTATTTCCTTACTTCAAGAGTCTCAAAGTGTGGGACTGCAAGTGTAGCATGCAGTTTGTCGTATCACCATTGCGCAAATATTTTTTTTTAAATTCACAGTCATATGTGCGACGGAAAGTTGGTAATTTTGTATCACCATTGCGCAATTCATTTTCTTCTAAATTCACAATCACATGTGCGACGGAAAGTTGGTAATTTTGGTCTTTGGTTCTAGTTTTAAATTGTTCCACTTAAACTCGCAACCGTGCCCCGACATATAGAAGTATTATTCGTTTTTACAGCAAAAGTTTACTTCCGGGCCACAAAATACTTTATGTAACGACCTGAATACCTATGCTATCGGATGTTGTGTTGAACATTCCCGCGAAGCGCTTAAAGAATTAAATTGCCTCCCATAATCGTTGAGTATGCTTCATTTGGTGGATCACCAGCACTCGCATCAAACAACACCGGCAAACTGACTTGTTCACGTTTCTCAACTAAATTTCTAGTAGTTGATATTTTACCTAAACCTAAGTAACGGATGGAAATACAAAGGTCATTCGCTTGTCTTAATAAGCTAGGAGGTTAGAGTTGAGGACTCAGCCGAGTGGAGGGATAATAGTAGCCGCTGAGACAATCTGAGTTCACAGCACGCTTGGTTCTTGCACTTGGTATGCCTTTGAGCCTTAGTGACAGGTTAAACGTTGTAGTGAACTTTGCTTCAGCTACAAATTCCAGGTCAGGATAACCGGTTGTTTTTCCTTCACATTTTAACAACCTAATAAAGGTCTTTTGCGAAGCACAACTTGATAACTTCCCTGGGGGGAATCAAAGTGGTCAATTTTCCTCTATAGGATGAACCGAGTGGAACGCAGGATAGTTTAGAAATACTGTGAGTATATGTAATGATACCAGCTATCTTCAGAAAACTGTGATCAAACGCTTATTAGAATGCATGCTACAATCCCTAAATTTTAAGAGATTCAGTGGAAGTCGACAATATTAATAATATACTGAATCTGATGGCATCCATGTAATTAAAGAATATCTAGTTTTGTCCCGGTTGGGGAAAATAACATAAGAACTGAAGATTTTTACCCCACTTATGCATCACTAAAAGCCAGTAGAAAAAAGCGTAGTTTGGCATCTCCTTGAATGTGAAAAAAGTAAACGTCCCCTTAGGTGTGCTGCAAACAAAACGCTGATTCCAAATTATTCGATTGCTGTCGTCCATACAAAGCTTTGCTAAAGCTCAGCCCAACAGGCAGTGCCTTCAGAAAACATCCCCGACACTACCTTCTGAAGGGTGTTTTATATTTGTGCAAATTAACTCCTGTTGTCTTGAAGGGATTTTGGTCAAGCATAATGGACAGCTGTGTAATTAATCAGTCAGTGAACAATCTACTACCAAGCTTGCTCCATG